ATTTTACTGATGTGGAAACTAAGACCCCTGATCTCTACTATTGCAGACCTTTTTGCCTTGTTGACAAATGGCCTGTTTTCAGTGCTTTGTAGTTTGAATGAAGCTGATTAAGATGCCCTAAATTACGAATCATCAGGTAGTAGCGCATACAGTTTTTAATCCATAAAATTGCTGCCACTGAAACCCGAAGTCCTGTTTCTGGGAAGTCTACGCCTTCATCTGGTCGTTAAGGCTGGATTGGCTCTTTAGCCTGGAATTTCAGTGTCCTTAGCATATCACACAAGGCTTAAATCAGGGTGTGGCACCTGGCTGGGAGAGTTGTTTCTGACTTTTTGCTTTTTCTTTTTAAAACTGAGGTGAAATTCACGTAACATAAAATTAACCATTTTAATATGTAGAATTCAGTGGCATTTATTATACTCATGATGTTGTTCAACCATCACCACCATCTAGTTCCAAAACATTTTCATCTCCTCCAGAGGAGCCCCTGTAACCGTTAAAGAGTCGTTCCCCCCTCCCTGGCTTCCCCCAGCACCTGACAACCACTGATCTGCTCTCTATCTCTCTGGATTTATTTATTTTGGGTATTTTGGAGGTAAATGGAATCACACACTAAAGTGACCTTTTGTGTTTAACTTCTTTCACTTGGCATGTTGTTTGCCAGGTTCATCCACCTTGTAGCGTGTATCAATCCTTCATTCCATTTTATGGTTGAATAATATTCCATTGTATGGTTACGCCACATTTTGTGTATCCATTCCCCAGCTAATGGACCTCCAGGGGGATCGTGAGTGAAGTTGGGGAGAAGAGAGGCTTGTGCCCTGCCTTGTGTACTGTGCTGCCTACTAGCCACGTGACCGTGAACGAGCTACAAAACTGGCTTGTGCCTCCCTTGCCTCATGTGTCAAATGAACCTAATGGTAATATCTAACTCTTCAAGTGACTGAAGGATTGGCTAAGATAATATGTGAAAAGTTCATAGTATGGTGCCTGGCAAATAATGGGCCTTCATAAACATTAGCTGTTTTGCCATAGGATGGTCTGAGCGTGGGTGGGGAGGAGAGAGAACACAAACGTGCGTTAAAGTAGGTGTCTTACCGTGCATTTATTCTGTTGTAGCTGCTCAAACCTTTGTGCTTTGTTTAAAAACGAAAAGGCCTATCTGTTTTCTCTGCTTTGTGGTTTGGTGTTTTTGCCCCTCCCCCCCTCCTTTCCCCCCCCCCCCCCCTTCACTGAACGTGGGTTTTACATTTAGAAGCAGTTCAGTAGACAGAATGTCTGTAGTGGAATGTTACATAATTCACTTTTAGATTTGAAGAGCTCATTATAAAAAACCTGACACACTTCAGGAATATTAAATTACTGCAGATTGTGTGGAGCAAAGGAACATTATTGAAGCATTTCAGAATTCTAGGCGAGCCTGAATTTAACTGATAGGGCTTCACAGCTTTTACTGGGGAAAAATGATGTGAGTTGTCACATGGTTTCTGGCCCTAGAGGACTTTAATCTCCTTAATTACAAAGAAACGAATTTCCTAAATAATTTGGAGCTACTTCACAGCATTTGCTCAACCTCTGGCTTTTGGAAAATTAAAGGGGATGCCAGGGTCCTGGCTGTGGAATGTTCTCTCCGTACTGTAGCTTCCTTATGCAGGTTTTTATTAGAGACGATGCTGGTTTCCTTTCTTTATTGATACGGGGATGTACTTCAGGAATTCACAAGTAATGCTTATAACACTGGAACGCAATCACATTTTGTCAAACAAGTGACACTGGAGCTGCCCACAGAATAGGGAGAGGTTCTGTATTGTGGCTTACAAAGTCGAAGGAAAGAAAATGGCCCAAATCCAATCCAGTTCTGTACATCGACTTTAAGAGTGCTTGAAATGGTGTAAAACCCATATTTCAGTTCATTTCGGTGTTTATGGATTAGGTACCTACTGTGTGCAAGACCAGCATCATGGAAATATCTTAGCTTCTACCATTTCCTACAGTTTGTCCTTAGAAAGCAGACTTAACCTGCCTTAGTTTCCTTCTCTGTGAAAGGAGGATAATAATATGAGGCTGTGTTGTGACCTTGTATTCCTGTGTTTGTAACACAGGAAACTATTAGGGCCTAATATTTATTAAGTGCTTGCCAGGAGATGTGCCCAGACACCCTTCCAAGCATGTTACATGTGTGATCACAATTTCTACAGCCACTCCATGAAGTTGATACTGTTATCCCCATTGTAAAGGTACAGAAACTGAGGCAAAGAGGGGTTGCGTAGCTTCCTCAATATCACATTGCTTGTAAATGGCTCAAACTACGAAGTTGCCCAAGAATCAGATCATAACACAAGTAAGGAGAGATTCTGTTACCCAGGCCAAGCTCATACTGCTCGCTGCACGACAGGCCAATAAATTGAGAGATGAGGTGTTGGGGCGAGGGATAGTGACTTTATTTGGAAAGCCAGCAGAGCAAGAAGATGGTGGACTAATGTCCCAAAGAACCATCTTCCCTGAGTTAGAATTCAGGCTTCTTTTATAATAAAAGGGGAGGGGTTGTGGCTGGTTGTTACAAACTTCTGGGTGTTTTAATCCTTTGTTCTTGCAGCTGTCCAGTGTAACTCAGGTTGCCATGTTTCTGTAAACCTCCAACGAGGCAAATGTTAATCTCTGTTGTGCAACTTTTTATCTCTGTATGAATGGAAAAGTGTTATACCTTTAAAGGTCAGAGCCTTGAGAAGGGCCTATCCTGTATATTTCAGGCTAAGACAACATTCTTAGCTTGTAGCCAAAGCAACAGAGTCCGAAGGTTAAAGCAAGAGAAACAGATCCAATCTGGAGTCAGATTTGTTCTTCCGTATTACAGTTCCGTTTAATGGAGGGATCAGAAAACCTTTCTGCCTAAGATACCTCTTTTGAACTGAACCTTGAGAATGTCAGCAGAATTGAAAAGAAAAATTCCATAGAAAGGTAACAGCACAAGGGAGGATTGGGAAGATGGGAAAGTGTATCACCTCCCTACTAGACTTAACGCGTCCTTTTTTTATTTTGGTTGTTAATTTCAAGCCTCCTTGGACATGCTGGTCCTTCTGCCTGAGATAACCATTTATTCATTTATTACACATGCATTTATTGAGTACCCATTGGTCCTTTCCCTTATCATCCATGTGACAGAGGCATCATTCTTCAAGATCAGACAGTGGAGAGCTGCTTCTCTGTGAAGCTTTATTGAGTCTTTCAAGCAAAGGTGAAAGCTTGCTCCTTTGTAACCCAGTATGCCCATTTTTGGTCTGTTTTCATTCTGGTCATGTGTATTGCAGTCCCCTACATGACTGACACCTCTGCTAGACTGAATTTCTTTGAGGACAGGAATCAGGCTTTGACTCTGTACTCTCCGCCTGCATGGTTGTGCCGTACACGTCTATTGACATGAATGAGCCAGCACGTGCACCTGGCCTGTTGTAGGTTCTTAGGAGATGTTTGTTGCAATGAAATGACTAGTATTATTAATAAAATTAATTATCTCTTTATATGACCAAGTCTTGGGACTCTGCCATCTCTCATGGAATGTTGTCCTTTGAGGGCAAGAGGTTAGGAAGGGGGTGAGGGCTTCGTGGCATGGTGCAGATAGATGGCACAAAAGTGGCCGGAAAGGTTCTCATTTTCAACATACGGTTTCATGGACCCCATTCTCGGAAGATAATTTTCCATTGTCTTTAGTTGTAGCCTTAGATCCTCTACCTTAAGTACCTTCGTTCAGGGCCAGTGTCCTCCTAAACAATAGTTTGTAAAACAGTTTGTTAAAAGCAAACAAAGAAAGCAGATATCTTTGGATAAGGTGTGAGTTTCCCCCTATTTAAGCCTTACTACAATTTATATGGCTTTTATATTAGCCTTTCTAGTTAAGCCATCCTTAACTGGCATGATCAAGAGATTTTGGTCCTTATTCTTTCTGAGCTGAAACTGGTGTTCAAGGTCAGCCTTTTCAGATGAAAAGGTTCTAGATCTGTGGCATGAGCTAAGAATTGGCTGCACAGTTTGAAGATCCATTTCCAGTAGCTTTATCTTAATATTCTTTAAAAATGGATAACTCCTGAAATGTTTATTTTCAACTGAACTCTCACATATAACTATCAGAGAGACGGTCGCTGGGAAAGACTGTTGGCTTGACACTGGGAACACATTCATTCAGTTTAAATGAAATCAAATGAGATAACGTATGTGAAGCAGGAGCTGAGGGCATAGGATATAGTAAATGTATAGTAAATACTGGCTGTAATTGAAGTGGTATTATTATCATTATTATCTCTTCCCAGCACAGTGTCTGAACTTAATAGTACCTAGTAGTGTGCAAGTCATATTTATTAAAGAAAGAAGGGCTGAAATGTGTGTCTGCCCGCCTCTTTCCTTCTCTTTTCCTCCCCACGTTAAATGCTTGTCTGCTCTTATAGCTGCGGGAAAAGCTGACGTAAAAATGGGCTTGCTGGAAAGTTTCTCAGCCCCATTTGTCACCTTACCCTTGGAGCCCAGTTTTATGTCAACTCCACGTTCCCTCTGATGCCTGCCAGTGAGGGACAGACCACAGGTCACTTGCCTGTGATCTGCTTTAGCTGCCAAAGCTCTAGTCGAGCTTGGCTGACGTACGGGTGCCTCGTTGTTGGAAATGTCTCCATGGGGCTGCTCAGGAAATATGCCTGTGCTGTATCTTCTGGGTGACATCTAGTGCTTGACAATAAGAAACATGGAAAATAAAGAATTGGGTTTTGCTCCTCTTGAAAATCCAGAGTTTTAAAGATCTGTTTTGCATTACCTATTGTGAGTTCTGCGGATAAGGCCTCTAATTCTCTTGGTTGTATGAACCCTGTCGATGGCTTAGTGAAACCACGTGAACAGTTTATACACGGAGACCAAGGTTTTCCTGTTTCTGTATGTTTGACGGTTCCTTTTTTCCCTCCTAATTTCTAACTTCACCAGGGTGGTGATTCTGAATGTTCTCTTCCCTTGATTTGCAGCGCTCGAAAGGAGTGAATGGAATGTGCAGCTCGGGGTGTCATTTCTGAAGGGCGGAGTCGTTTTCTTGGAGAGGAGTCCTCAATGAGCCTGGCCGAGGCCCAGGATCTGTGTGAAGTGGACTAAGGATTTAGTAGGATGTCAACTGAGACAGAACTTCAAGTAGCTGTGAAAACCAGCGCCAAGAAAGATTCCAGAAAGAAAGGTAGGGTTCAATCTGTTCCTTTCCGAATGGCTACCTATTGTACAGGAATGAGTTTTTTTGTCTCTGGAACGGTATTTGGTACTATCTTTGTGATTGCATGTATTTTTAAATAATCACCAAGATTATTTGGTGTTTTTTGTATTCACGGTATCATGTTTTAATGGCTCGTCCTTATTCTCTGGGTAAAATCCCAAATTCTTTTCATAGTATGCAAACAAAGCCCTTCCTGACCTGATTTCTACCCATCCCTCCAGCAACATCTCTGCCCAGATCTGCGCTGCCTCCCCACCCAACCCTGTTTGCCCTCCAGGCATTCTGTGTCTTGTAGTTCACCTTTGCATATACTGGTGATTCTCAAACTCCAGCCACACAGAAATCACCTAGAAGGCTTGTTACAACACAGATTGCTGAGCCTCGTCCCCAGAGTTTTTGGTTCACTAGCTCTGGGGTGGGGCCCGAGATGCGTTTATAACAAGTTCTCAGGTGATGCTGATGCTGGTGGTCCAGAGACCAGACGTTGAGAACCCCTGGACTGTCACTTCAGCCTGAAATACTTTTGTTGCTCTCCGCTTTTTCTTAACACTGACTCCTACTTATTCTTCAGATTTGAGCTTAGTGGGGCCTCCTGGAGGGCCTTCCCTTACTCCCCAAATTGGGTTATTTGCTTTTGTTTGTTTTGTTTCATTAACTCTTTGTTAGTAGCTCACTTTCTTAGAAACACCCTGTTTTTTTTTACCCCCTGTGTCAGCTATACTATACAGTCCTTCAGAGCTGGATCCCTTGTTCACCCTTTTAACTCCCAACAATTGGAATGTGTCTGACACAGAGGAGGCACATAGGTATTTGGTAGAGGAGACTGGCATGCATAGTGTGATAATAAAATAATTCTATCACTGTTCACGATTTTTGGAGAATTTGTTCCTATGGCTTTATGACCACGTCTTTCATTAAGTTCGTCTCCTTGTTGGAATTAGATGTAAGCAACTTGTTGCTCTGTGTGTAGGGGTGTGTGTGTGTATGTGTGGTGTGTTTTCTCCCTGTGGTTTCAGTTCTTTCCCTCCCCTGTCTTTAAAACTGTGTGGAAGAGGATTAATACAACTCTCTTTCAGGTCTTGAAATCTGTCAGGATGGGCCTGCAAACAGGATGCCGTTGGTTGCTTTGTATAGGCAGTGATTTGTTTGAGATGTTGCTGTGCCTGCCCAGTCATGTCTTCTGATGGCATTTGTCTGATACTCCATGGGAAGCAAGGGACATAAATGTAATACATATGCAGCTCTTGGACAGCCAGAACCCCAGAAAGGACTATAAATTTTGCTTTAGATGTTGATTTGAAGCACAAATATTTTGGAAGCAGTCTATTTTATCCCCTGAAACCTAATGTAAACCTTGTTTTTTATGCATCATGGACTAAGAATAATAGAAGGAAGGCACGTGTGTGAGAGAACAGGTCTTGGGAGAACTGCTACATGGGCGAGAAAAAAAAAAGATTGCAGAGCCCAGTATGTACTAGAATTCAAATGCTTTTTCACTGGAAACTGACAAGTTATATTTTTGCTTCAAATTTAACCTTTCCACTGAACTTGTGCTCTTGAATGCTTAATGCATTAAAAATTGTACTTAGTGCGTATCTTTTCATTCTTAATTTTAACATGCAAAACCAGAAGCATTCTAAAGAGAGGATTCAGATTTTTCAGAACACTGGCTTAGTTGAGAACTTGGAATGGGACTGTGAAGGTGACCTTCACGTCCTTAGTAGCTCTAAAATCAGCACAGCACCTATGCAAGGAGTGTCCTCTAGTGAGTGGCTAATACCATAAAGTCTGGGCAGGCAGACCTGGGTTCAGATTCTGGCTATATCACTTCCTAACTGTGTGACCTCAGAATGTTACTTCACCTCTCTGAGCCTCGTTTCCTTTCCCATAAAATGAAGGTGTAATATTACAGAGCTCAAAGGCTCACTAGGAAGATTAATTGAAATGAGGCAAATATAACAGTATAGAACTGGGCATATGTTAAAAACTCTACAAAGTTTACATGTGTTCCTCTTCCCCCTTCCCCCTCCTTCTCTTCTCCTTACTTCTTCTCATCCCCTTCATTCCCTGTCATCTTTCTCCATCTTTCCCACCTCTCCCTTCTTTGTCCTATTTCTCTTCTCCCTTTTTCACTCTATCCTCCTTCTCTTCCTCATCTTCATCAGAATCATCACATTGTTTTCTCTTACCTAAGGGGATCTTAAAAAGTATACAGCTGATTTGTCCCAGAGCAAGATTTTACAATTGTTTGTAATTATGCAACAATGACAGATAGTTTTTTTCTTGATACCCTTGTCTGGACCAAGGCAGCAGGAAATCACACACGTACATTAAAAAGAGAGAATGAGAATGTGCTTGGTAACAGGGTTAATTCATTTCCTGTCCTTTAGTTTTGGCTATGGGATAGTAAGTATTCCATTAAACAAATATTGCTAACTGGGTGAAAATAAGTAGAACTTTGAAAGGAAATAAGCAGTTTATATATCGATCTTGAATCTTGAATTCAATAGTCTTACTGAACTCTTTTGCTAATACTTTCTCTAACCCCTCTTTGATTTTCTATTGAGGCAATCTGTAACCTCATAAGTAAGTTTCTGGCTTCCTCTTCAATCCTTAAGTACTTGTTCTTTATCTTATTCCATTGGTTGGGTCTGTCATTATAATATCTAGTAGAGAGTAGGTATCCTTAACTTTTACTTAAATTAATGGAAATGCCTTAAGTTACCTGTAAGTGTGATATTTAAGTATTTACTAAATATTCTTTATTAGTTTGCCTTCATTTATCATTTCTAGGAATTATTTTTTTTTAAATCCTGAATTTTCATGTTGAATTTTATCATATGCTTTTTCTATATTTATTTCAATGATTATACATATATTTTCTCTTTTAGTTTAAAATCAATAGTAAGTCATGGATTTCACTGATAGATTTTCTGATCTTCATTTCTGTTTGTGATGTCTTATTTTCTATACCCTGTGGATTTAATTTGATATTTTACTTAGTATTTTTCTATCTATATTCATCAGCTCGATTGGTATATATTTTTCTTTTCTTGAACAATCTTTGTGCCTGATATAGGTCAAAGTTGATAACCTCATATAATGATTTTGGTGGTAAGGACATAATAATTTTAGACTTCTTTATGAAAAAATATGAATTTTTTAGTAATTTTATTAGACTTTTAAGAAGTTATATATGCTTATTACTGAAAATTAGAAAAGACAAAGTAAGCATGCATAATCCTAAAAATTAAAAATAACTCTTTTATTGGGCTTCCCTGGTGGCGCAGTGGTTGAGAGTCCGCCTGCCGATGCAGGGGACACGGGTTCATGCCCCGGTCCGGGAAGATCCCACATGCCGCGGAGCGGCTGGACCCGTGAGCCATGGCCGCTGAGCCTGCGCGTCCGGAGCCTGTGCTCCGCAACGGGAGAGGCCACAGCAGGGAGAGGCCCGTGTACTGCAAAAAAACCCCAAACTTTTACTAACATTCTAAGTTACTTCCTTCTGGACTGACTTTCCAGGATAATATGAGATTATATTGTTCATACAATTTTGCATCCTGCTTTGTCATTTGACATTCTGTCATAAATACATTTCTCATATTACTACCTGATATTACAGTATCGTAAAGTTTTTTCTTCTCTTGGCAAGATTTAGGTGGTTCCTGGGGCAGATATTTTATTTCCTTAAAAAAATACCTCACAACGTAAGGCATCTATCATGAAAAAGAGTGGCAAAAAGGAAGTTAAGAAGCCCTTTATAATTCCTCACAAACCTGTCACTCCAGTTCTTTAACCCAGGCTGTTGAAAGCAAGTCAGACGGATTCAAAAACAAGTCACACAGGAGCATATTTCACCACAAAATGAGTTTCTAGACAGGCCAAGTATGAGATGTAACTAGAGTATTGACAATTCAAATAAGGAGGGGTTGAAAGTAGTGAGAAATGAAGTTGTTTTCTTCATTTCATTTTTATTGGATTGTGTCACTCACTACACATACAGCTTGTCAGACGGTACCTATTCTAGGAGTGGAAGTTGATGGAGGACTGGAGGAAGAGAATGTGTGTTTTCAGGTTCGGTACCTGCCATCGAAGGGAGAAGATCAGTTGACACAATCTGTGGTAATCCTGGCATTAGGACACCCAGTAGAAGCCTGTGGTAGAGGAACGGGTCCCAGGACGAGCAGACACAGACATTTCTGGGGGTAGTGCCTGGAGTTTTTCAGGCAGTGCCATCTGGCAGCTTGGTGTCCTGGAAAGAGCACTAACTTTGGAGTCCGACAGACCTGGTTTTTAATTTCTAACTCTTGTTCTTATCTGCTGTGTAACCAGAGATGGGTTATTTAGCCTCTTTGACCCTTGTCTTTTAAGGGTGTGTGATTGTGTGTGTGTGTGTGTGTGTGTGTGTGTGTGTGTGTGTGTGTGTGTGTGTGTGTGGTGTGTTACTACTCTGCTTGTTATCAGAAAGGCGAGCGAGATTATCTTGGGTAAAGGACCAGCTTGGGATCTGCAGCATGGCAGTGATGTGGTTAACGTTAGCTTTTCTGTCCTCTTCCTTCTGAGATCATGGTTCAGTATTTTCTCCTTATTTTCTAGAAATACCTGGAAATAAATGTATTCACTTTCCTTTACTTATATTAGAACTCAGTGAACACAAACAACAAGACACTAACAATCTTTCCTCCCAGAAAGCCTGGGCTGCGAGAATCAAGGCCCTGATGGAATCCAGGAGAAGTTGGTCACGCGGCAGACACCTTAGCTCTGGAGCCGCATTGAACTGAGTTTGAACCCTGCCTGTGTGCCTCAGTAGCTGTGCAAACTCTGGGGAGGTTTCTTAGGAAATTTTGGTCAATTGTGATAAGGAATTGTTTCAGGAATCCCATGTTCAGGGTCCTGATCCCTCAACTGGTCAGTGAGCCCTGGGAAGGATCTCTGTTAATAATCCCTGGCTTACCACTTAGGAGCTG